TATGAAAATTATTAGAATTTATAAATATTATTATTTAATTTATTTAATAATAATAAATTAAATAATAATTTTTTATATATTTTAATTATTATAATATATTATATTAAATTTAATAATATTTTAATATTAAATAATTAAAATTTATAAAATAATATTTTTTTTAATTTATTTAGTTGTAATAAATTTAATAATATATAATTTCTAATTATTAAATATTAAGATATTCTTATTTTAATATAATATAATATATACTTTATTATAATAATTTTATATTTATAGTTTTAAAATAATTATATATAATATATAATTAATAAATTTTTATTTTATAAATAATATTAAATATTTCTAAAATAATATAATTAATATTAAATAATATTTTGAATATTATAAAAAATATTATTATTATATATTAAGTCTTTTAATATACAATAATTCTCTTTATAATGTAACAAAAAAATTTAATAGTAAAAAATTTTCAAAAATTTATTATATTAAGAGTTTATTAGTAAATTTACTATATTAAATAGATTTTATTTAACATCATTTTGGATATTATCTACTATATTATGAGTTTAATTAGTCTTTATTATAAAGGAGATATACTATAAAAAGAGTTACTTTATATAGTAATTTTTAAAAAAATAACTTTATTATATAGAATTTGATATAAATTTCTCAATATAAATAAAGAAAAGATATAATTTTAATAATTTACTATATCAAAATTAACTTATTATTATATATTTTTTTAATGACTAATATTATTTCTGTAATCTTTTCAAGAAAAAAAATAAAAAAAATACAAATTTAAAATGATTAAATAAATATTTATACAGTGACTAACAAAATTATGAAATTAGAATATTAATTTATTAATAAAATATAGTAAAAATTAAAATTCTCTTTTTATATTAAAATTTATAATTATATTAATTGTTTGTATGTTAAAATAAAAAAAAGTTTATAATATTTTAAAATATTTTTTTCAGACTTGGATTTTTTTTAAAAGAGTTGTTCTAATTGCAAAGCTATTGCAAAATTTTTTCAATTTAAAAAGAAAATTTAATTAGAAAAAATTTTGCAATTAGAACAACTCTTTAAGAAAAAAATCTGAAAAAAGTATGTTAAAATATATCTTATAAACTTTATTTAGTATACAAACAAATTATTTCTTAGTGAAATTATAAACTTTAATATAAAGAGAAAATTTCAATTTTTTATTAATAAAAATTGACTCCCCGATTGTTAGCTACTGTATATAAGATTACTTAAATAGTTGAAACCAAGTAAAATTGGTTTAACAATCAATTCAATAACATTACTGATTAATATCTTGTTTAATCATGAATCCTTTTCTATAAGAGCACATAAATTAGGCTCGTTTTAACGCATCTCTTGAAATAGCGACATTTTTTCAATTTTTATTTCCCGACCTCATCGTTAAATGGGGTCTGTATTACCTAATATGGATACCAAAAATAATATTATACTTTTATTAATGGCACTAGTAACAGCATAAATTACAAACTTTCCGTTAGTTCATCTGCTACGCAATACAAAGAGCGATAAACGTCGATTTCCTGTATTATTTGAGAATAAAATTTTTTTGAAGGAGAAATCGTCAAATTCAAATTGAAAAAACCTTGTATCATAAGGTTCTGAACATTAATATCGATATGTTCCAATTAATGTTGCTATGTATTTTGGGTGTGTACGAAGTGTATAATAATAAAGAGTTGTATATCGAAAACGTAATTTTTCATTATGAATTCATAAGCATAATATTGGAAATCCTATGAAAATTTACATAACGATAGTTCTTTATCATTTCAATACATTTAATTGATAGAATGCGTCACATTTAGAATTGGACAACTACGTAACTCCAATTCCAATTCAAAACAATTGGACATACGTATTACTTGCCAGTGGTTACGTAGTAAAACTCTAAAGTTAAAAAAATTGAAATATCTAAAATTATTGTTAAATATGAATCAAATTAAAAAAATTTATCTTATTTAATTATGATTAATTCAATAAAAAAGAAATCTTTCCTCGTTTATTTGATTCTTCTGACACGTTTTCAATAGGACGTTTATTATTCATTTTATGATTTTTGAAAATATAATAAACGAAAACTAGAATAATTAATAATCGTTACTGTAGATATCTATATCATATTCAGTGGATGTTCTAGGGTTAAATATAAAGGTTTTAATATATAAACTTAATCTTTTAATACTTATAATGAAGTTACCTTCATTCGGAATATATAAACTAAAACCTAAATATTTGATATATTTTTATATCAATCTGAAATGTCATTTGATTGAGTATAAAAAATAAATATATCAGTTGGGATTGATATTAATTTTGAAGTAAACGTTCGACTGGTGTAAATTGCATTTGAGAGGATTTGTTGTTTTTTGTTTATATTTGTAGGAATACTTTTTTGTGATTTCATCTCCTCATCAAATTTAATGCACTCTTTGATTTCTTCATCTATTTTAGGATTTTCTAATGAACTGTATGTAGTATTGAAAATGTAAAGTACTCAACTCCCAATCATCATCTGGATAATGGTAGAATAAATAAACCAAGAAAGATCCTTAACGGTTGGTCTGTTTTCTGGGAACATTATTTGGTATCTTGGGTCGTACTCCTTTAATGACGTTGTCTAATACGAGACCTGTATTATGACTTCGTTCGCCTGTTACAATCTCGTACATAACCATTCCAAATCTATAAATATCTGCAGCGGTAGTGTATGGCTCATATAAGGAAGTACTCCACAAATTTCTTGTTTAGATTTTTCTATATATGTTGAAGTGCTAAGTCCAAAATCAACAATGTAAGGAAAGCGTTTCATTAATATATTTCCAGGATGAAAGTCACGGTGTACAAACTTTCCTTCGTGAAAGGTATTTAGATTAGCGATAATATTTCTTTTGCATACTCCACCACTATTGAATATACATTTGTAACTGGGTTTTTAGTTATTCCGTAATATCTTATATAGGCATCAAAATAAAATCGAATTTAAAAATCTGATTGTATCAGAAAACAAAAAGGAACCTTCACTTTAGAACATGTTCATTTTTTATCTCGTTTATAAACTCTGGAGTAATTTGCTTTGAATTGTGTAAAGATTTCAACACACCTTCAATTTCTCAAATCATGATTCCAATAATCCAATGGTCCATCCAACCAGGTTGCTTTATAAATTGACCCAAAACTTTCTTTTACAAGATATTCAACGTTGGTAAATCTTTCAAAAGAAATCCATTCGAATATATTTTTATATTTCTTATTAATTTTGTTGCATTCTTTAGATTGTCGATATCTTAGACAATTCATCCTTATAAATTCGTTTGTGATATTTGAAACAGTCAGCGCAGTATTTATTCTATTAACATTTAATACAATTACTACAATCATGAGTATTGTGAACTAGTATTCATCTCCTTGACATTCGTCACATTCATTGCAATGATGAGTATTTGATTCCATCTTTGAGTTCATTTTATAAAATGCATTTATATCGATATTGTACCGCATACTTGCGAAATAACGCCCCCATCTGCGTTATTTCGATAGAGTCGATTTTCCGATCCTGATATTTTCAAAATCAGATTTTCGATATAGCAACAACCCTTTGACTAACGATTTTTTATTGTTCAACTTTCGTGCTACATGTAACCATATTTGCAATTGGATTATTTTATTTATATGACATAAATCCACTATATATGGGTGCGCGTTATTTCGGGACGCACATGGGCGCTATTTCGAAACAGATGGCCATTTTTAAAGGGTGCGATTTTCGAAATAACGTTATTTCGCGAGATGCATACGGTATGTAGTGATTCAAATTCTATGTGAATGATGTATTTACATGCATTTCTGTACATTTAGCGTATTATTACTGTAATAATAATAAAAGTCAAATTAATTTCTTGACATCAATATAAAAAAAGATTCCTTTTGGTTTCATCATTTTGAAAAACATGTTTTCACTCAGACTCAAATTCCATCAAAAACAAAATTCTGGCTTATTGATCAAAACTTATACTACACTTTTTCGCATCATATGTTCTCACATTAATAAATTTCCAAATGGTATTTGCATTCATCTCACGTATCTGCTTTATCTCATCTGAGATATTCATCAATAGTCTCTTTATATCTCTTTATATATTATCAAGATTTCACCAACAACATTGCAAATCATGCTGGAAACTCTTCCATAATGACTGATTATTCATTAAGCATCGGTATTAGTAATATGAAATACAGTATTTTTAGCAATCGAGTAATGATCAAAGTCTGTCATAAAATCACGTGTTCAGAAGTGGATGCTCCGCCAATATCCCGTTCCCCTATTTGAAATTTTGTTCTCCAACTTTCTCAAGATGCCAACTGAACAACAATTTCGTGATACTCTAAATTCACTAGGCTGGGGCTCAAACAACACAAGAGGTAGTGGAATTAGGCTTCCCACCAATAACAACAATTCAACACCATTTTCGCGACTTACAGAGAACACTTCAAGTTTCTTTGGAAGTGTTAGTAATCGAGTACAAGGATATATTCCTTTAACAAATAATCAGGAAGAAGAAAGTTTGTTTACTTTGAATAGATGGCAGGTGAGTTTTTTAGTTTTTCTTTTACTTTGTTAATTGGATCTTGTAATAAATATATTCTTGCTATACTTAGAGACTCACTGGATTCGGAATTCTTCTAATGGCGGGTGCACTATGTTTCCTCATTGTAGGTGTTACTAGATAACTCGTTTTATTTTCAAACTTAAACATTATATTAAATTATAAAAAAAATATCTAAGGCATTCTTGACAATACCTATATTACCAATAAATCCAAGAAAATTTGCAGTCACATATACAATGGGAAGTCTTCTAGTACTAGCAAGGTAGGTTAAATTGTTGGAAAATAATAAAAGCATTAAATACAAAAAAATCTCTTGAACTTATATAGCAATTCAATCAATTTAAAGTTTTTCCATGCTTAAAGGACCAGTCGAATATCTTAAACATATTTTTTCGATGGAGCGGCTTGCATTCACACTTGCATATCTAGGGTCAATGATTGCTACCTTGTATTTCGCTGTTGGGGTAATTATGAATAAATTGAATATTAATTTATTTATTTAATATATTCAATAGTTAATTAATTATTTATTCGATCTAAATTTTCTAGCTACATAGTTATGTTTTAACCATAATTTTCAGTATTATACAAGTTGTCGCGCTTATATGGTATTTATTTTATTTATATCTTATATTTAAATAATTCATTTTTATCTTGATTGATTGTTTCATTATTTATTTAATTTTAATGACACTGTCGATAATCAGGTACGTTGTATCCTATTTCCCGGGTGGAGCTAATACTCTACAAATGGGCACTCGTATGTTCGCAAATCAAGCTACCAATATTTTGCCATTTTGATTTTAAAATGAAATAATAGTTTGGGTTGTCATGTATTGGACGAGGACTGAGGATTAAATAATTTTCTTACAAAAAAATTAATTGTACTATAATATCTTCACGTGACAAATATCAATTTAGATTGTTTTTAAGAGCGATGTAGATTTTGGTTATCGTATCATTTTTGAACATTCACATTTTATTATTCAGCAACTTTACAATTAATATAACAATTCTTGTGTATTTATAAGTAGATCGTAGAAGTAATTAATTACATAGAACGAAAAGGGTAATGCAATATTTATATGTTGTAAGGATTAATATTCTATGTGCAATAAATCCAATCATCAAATTACACGAATAATTTCTTTCCCTTCTCATTTCGAACATGACTTAATTTTCCACCTCTAGTCTCTAAAATTCTTCGAGCGTAAGAAATCGCATCACTTGCAATATTAGGGGATCCTTCAACAGCAAGGTACCTCAATTTGTCAACCCTTGCACGCACCAAATATGCAACCCCGCTTCCCGTAATCATTGGACAGTTTGAGATATAAAGTTCACGTAGATTTGTTAGATTATCTGCGATAGACGTCAAGGATGTATTTGTGATGTTTGGGTTGTGAGAGATATCAAAGATTTCGAGGGAGCCACGTAATCCACTTGGAGAATTGCCAATAAAATTCACGCCTTCATCTGTCAATCTTGGACATTGGCCTATAATCAATACTCTCAGTTTCTCACAATTTTCGCTGATATGACGTAGAGTCTGGTCGCTTAACTGGATATTTCCTTGTAAATCCAAGGTTTCAAGGTCATACCATGCTTGTGTCAGTGATTGGATGGAGGAATCAGTCATTGAAGTGAAAAAAGAGAATTGGAAATATCTAATGCGCGAGCATGAATTCACAAAATATGGAAAAGATTCGTCGAATGGTCGCATGATATTATATTCATTTTTTAACAATTTTAATTGAGCCGATTCCAATTCGGAGAAGTTGCCAAGTCCATCGAAAATTTCAGTAGTTAATTTTGGATTATCACGTAAATCAAGCTTGACCAATTTCGGGAATAATAGTAACAGATAATCGAGCGTACTATTACTGACAGCAGGACATTCTTGCAGATAGATCTCTTGCAGATTGGATACTTTGGAGTTTACTATCTGTGGATTGAATGGATCTTCTGAAATCTTTGGGCAATAAGAGATATTCAGTGCTTTCAGATCTGAACATGTCTCCAGAATGATTTTTACCGTTTGCGTGCTTGCCATCGTTCCCAGCAAATTAATGTTAGTCAAATGCAAACCCATAGATTTAAAGAACATTGTAAAGCGAGAGCTGGTTATTTTCTTGTTGACGGTGATTTCAAAGTTTTCAATATGAGTGCATCGATAATTTGCCAAGATTTTCAATGACGCATCTGAAAGATTTATCGATTCACAACAGATCAGTGATCGCAAATGGCGATTAGCTCTCTTTGCGAAGTTGAGAAGAATTTGGTCTGTAATTCTGTTGCATATTTGATTGCTGGTGAAATCCAAGTGACTCCATAATAATGATGAAGAATTGATAAAATTCCTCCAGTTTTTGGATACTAAGGTCGCTTTGCAGAGGCTCTTTAATGGTAGCTTTTGAAGTATTTCATGAACAATCTCATTTGGAAGAAGTTGAATGAAATCATAACTACGCCCAACAAAAGTTCTCTATATTAAAAGGAAAATAACCTTTAACGAATTTTTAAAAATTCAAAATTGCAATAGAAATTTACCCTTTGTTTTGCTATTTTTTTCGCGTGGTCACTATTATTATGGTGGTGGTGGTGGTTGTTGTTGTTGTTGTTGTTGTTGCTCTTAGTTGATTCTAAGCAGAGTTTCTGAAAAGCCTATTAAAATGGAATCAAATAAAAATCTTTATGATAATTCTGTGTTATTTATTATTAAAAGTTAATTACCTGATAGAGTGGTCCATTCCGTGTTACTTTTTGTTTACCGTTATGCAATATTTCTTGAGCTTTAGCGTGTTGATTTAATTGCCTCAAAGCACGGTTAGCTCGAATGTATCCCTAAACAATTACGAAATATCCCGTCAAATGATATATGTAAAAATAAGGCTGTTGCAAACAACAATCACTTTTGCGGATGTTCCTTCCAATTCAATCATCTTCAATGCGTCTTGATATGCCAATTCCGATTTTTTTAACTTTTCGCGTACAGAACAACGAAACTCGTAAATAAGAAAAACATCCGGGTCTTCTGCAATTGCCTTTAATATAATGACAATTTCAAAATATTAAATTTTTTATTGTTTTGAGTCTGGCGCAAAAAACTGACTCTTCTTCACCTTTGTAAAATATATTTCTGCATTTTCAAAATCACCTTCCTTGAATGCGCTTACGCCTTTTTCGTAAAAATTATCTTTTTTATTTTTTTTGTATAAGCGACTTGGATTAGAGGTCTCGTTCTCTTTATTTTCCCTGTAAGAGCGGTTGGAATTACAGGCCATATTTGCTTTGAGAGACACAGAAAAATAGAAAATCATTAAGTAGCAAAACACGCGTGACGTCAACATTTTTCGTCAATCATGATTCGAGAAAATTATCTTTAAAAAATTTTGACAGGAAATAAATCTATGGATCTTTCCCAATGAGATATTATGTGCAACAATTAATCTCGAGAAATTTTGTTCTCAAGCAAAATTGGTCAAACCTTTTTTTGATAAAAAAAATTGCATCCGAATTACGTCGGAAAAATCACCTTGGAGCAACATTCTTTGGAATTTTGTTTGAGCATAATTATATGTATGCTCTTACACCGCTGCCGATATTCCATGAGCAGCAACACTTCAATAAAATTTATCCATGTAGAGAATTTTCAACAACATATAACGAATTAAAAGTGGGGATTGTGCCGATATGTGGAAATTTTCTATCATGGAAAATTAAATTACGTTTACTCTCTCATCCAGTTCCCTCTGAATTATGGGATCTTCTAGAAATTCTTCCCGATACTGAAAATTATCTTTACAAATATTTAAACAATAAAGATGTTTATTTATTATTTTTATTAATAAGAAAACTTCCTCAAGTCAAACAAGCGCAATTGGATAATAAATGCACGAAAATTTGGCGAGAACTACGGAAATTTCGAAAACCATTTGATGAAAAATCGTACAACTTCCTGTTACTGAAAGGACCGTATTCATTACGTCAAGAAATTCTTGATGAAATGGTATTTCATAATTATATACCAAATATTGCGGCATTTTCACGTCTGATTGAAGATTCTTGTCGGGCACAAGACACATTTCAAGCGAGGCATTGGTTTCGAGTAATGCATGAATTGAAACAAAGTCCAGATGCACGAATATATAATCTACTTGTTTATACTCATACGAATCTCACACAGGAATTAAGTTTGGCAAAATATTTCTTGGGAAAAATGATTGATGTTGGTCTGTTGCCTGTTCAATCGGTCATATTTGATTTTATGCGGCAATCTTTAAATTCTAATCAATCAGAAAATTTTGATTGGGCTTTCGAAAGGTTTTTTAGAGGGAATGGACAAAAAGGATTTCAGGCAACAATAGACGTTTATCATATATTACTTGAGATTTTTGCCAAACAATCTTCTTTTGAATTGGCACAAAAATATTTTGATGATATGATTAAAGTGAAAAGATTGGAACCGAATGAGATGACTTTTCAATCTTTGATCAATGCTTATGTTGGTGACGATAATTGGGATAAAGAAGATTCGACAAATATTTCACAATCAAGTAGATTGCAAAAAGCTTTAAAGATATTTAAAGAAATGAAACCGACGCACCATATTATAGCTACACTTGACACTCATCTCCTATTAATTCGAAGGATATTATACCCTTCAAAGTTTCTAAATATCAATGATATTGATTTTGCTGATCTCAATTATCTAACAAAAAGTCTACTTGAGGACATCCCGCGAGTTCATTGGGAAAAGGTTTCCGATTCGCTGTTTATCGATATTTTTTCAATACTTGTCAACCATAATTTCCTCACACAATCGCACGCGATCTATTTCGAATTACGCAAAAGAGACAATTCTTTTGCATTGGACAATGGGGCATCCGTATTGATAAAGAAGCATTGTAAGGCCAGAGATTTATTTTCCGCATTACAAATTTATTATGACTTAGGTTCTGTGGGTATAAAAGCAGAGTTAGATGCCTACGCATGCATAATGCAAGAATATAATTATCGTAATGATCCGGATGGCGCAATGAAATTTTATGAATTTGCATCTCTAACAAATCCCATATTTAACAAAGATTTCTATCAGCCGTTACTTGAAGTATGTGTATACAATAGAAGAGCAGAATACGCGTTGGAGGTCTTGGAGGATCTGATTAGGCGCAGCTATAGACCTGATGTTTATATGTACAATATCACCCTTTATGGATTATTTAAAAGTCGAAATTGCGAATCTGCTAAACGTTTATTTCAAGATATGCAGAAACGCGGAATTCGTCCACAAGTGGCCACATACAACATTCTTATACAAGGATATGGAAACGTGATGCCTGACTTGTCTGAAGTTATTAACACTTATCAATTAATGATAGCTGCAAGATGCGAGCCAGACTCGAAAACATACGGAAATTTAATGATGGCACATATTCGTCACGGTGATTTAGATAGAGCACGTAAAGTATTCAAAGCGAACGTCGCTGCAAACAAACCTGTTGATATTCGAGCAGCATGTGACCTAATGAAAAAGCTCGCCAAAGTTTCTGATATCGATTTCTGTTGGAAAGTTTATCATCAATTAAAATTAGAAAAGAAACTGTGTAAAGAAATTTTTCAGGTTGCCTTCTACGTGGGTTATCTTGCGCATGATGACGAGAAAGTTAAAGATGTATTGACAGAATTGCATACGCAAGGAGTAAAAATAGATCTTAGTGTTATAAAGTATCTTGGGCTTCAAAAGTATCTAGGACGTCGAGACAGCGTAAAATTTACTTGGTTGTTGAATTTGTTATCTTCGGAAGAATATGTTTATAAGAAATTGGAGAGTACTTCGTAATATATATTTCAATTTGTTTTATTTTAATCTCCTTCACAAAAATAAGCACTAAATGGATTAATTTAATTAATAATTAAATTTTCAGAATAATTATGAATTTTGATAAAATTTCCAATTAGCTTCGCAATAAAGATTCAAAGTTCAAGGTACTTGTCTGAAAATGATCAAACTCGAGAAGCATTCAAATCTAGTATTTTTTGAAAGATATAAATTTTAAAATTTTATTCAATTTATAAAAATCTATTGCAAATCAAAATTATTCAAACTAGAATACAATGCTAATAGAATTATGAAATCAAAGATTGATTTATTAATAAACTAACGTAAAAATTGAAATTTTCTTTAATATTAAAATTTAGAATTTTATTAAAAAACAATTATATTTATAATTATAGTTTTCTGAGAATTATTTTAACTATAAAATTATTGTATTTTTTTTATTAAAAATGAAATTATAAAAAATAATTATTTTTTAATAAAATCAATTTTATTTAATAAAATATAATAAAATTGAAATTTTCTCTTTATATTAAAGTTTATAATTTTATTAAGTAATTTTGTTTTATATGGTGCCGATCATCTTAACTTGCCAATCACATGATTTTGTTTAATTTTCCAAATGTAATGTAAAATAGCATAATGTATAATACAACCAATAATATTGCATCCATTATTTAGTCACGTGATAATAATCAATATTATTATGATCAAGCATTATTATAATAAGATACTATATTTATTTGCATTATTATTATTTATTCTATCATTAATGCAAGAGTTATTAATTATCTATTTAATAGTTTGTTTTGTTCACTTTATTATCTCTTATTTTATCTATTTTAATTAATTACTTAATATTCTCTGAAATTTGATAATGTGATTTATACTTGTTAACAGTCTATTCAGCAGTCTAATCTTCTAATTTCTTGTCATACACATCCATGTATCTTCATAACTTGCAAATAAACTTGCAAATAATAGTTATAGATATATTATTAAGAACTTGTAAAAGCCAATTTACTAAGTTTATGAAGCTATAACTACATAATTTTTGAGTTTTTCACTTCATAAAATCCTAATATCACTCTATGAAGTTGCACTTATAATAGAACTTTAAGTATCACTCAAAAATATATTCTATTCTAATAACTACTTTTTCAATAATAATCATTATTCAAGAAAATTAGGTTGTGATAACATGATTCTTTATACATAATAGTCTAATCCATCAGTATATTTCTCTGAGTATTTCTTACATATTAAATAAATCTTCTTTATAAATCAAAAATTCTACTTCATGAGTACTTATTTGATACTTTTCAGTTTTCTTCTCAACTGTTTCACAGGATAATCATTAGAAAAAATTATTAATTATATGTATTTCTCTTCAAATTCATCAATATACTAACTATTATGTATTTTAGATTGCGCTCCTCCCAGACTCAAATTTATTCTTCTTACAATTAATATATTCTTAGCCATAATATTATGATTTATTAATTGATCAAAGCAAAAAACTTTGATATATTCAGGATGCAATATCTTAAATATCAAAATTATTTTATATACAAGTTGATCTAATATGTGCTCTGATTTTCAATATCCATTTATTTGAACAGAATAAAAAACAAAAATTTTCTTATCTTCAATGTGTAGATTTTTATGTAATTATTGATCAGATAGTTATAATAATCCATGATATGAATAAAGAAAAACTGAAATCATAATGGAGCATCTCATGTATTTCAGATAAAGAACATTCTCTCCCTCTTAAATTCAGATTCTCTACTATCTATCATTTACATAAAAATAGTATTCATCATATATTACTTGAATAATTTCTTTTTCTTCTGATTCAAGCTGAGATTCCAATATAATATTGAATATATTACTATTAAAATCTTTCATAACTTTCTTATATACAAACATTCTTTTTAATTATTTCTTTCTATATATCACCATATCTGACCACTCATGTTCATCAAAATAAATGTCTTTTCTTCTCTCATTATACTTAAATCCTCACAAATGCATATACCTTCTACATGTTATTTCAGAAATAGTATTCCTTTTAATATGGCCAGTTCATTCTGGAAATAAGATTTCTTTGATATATATCTTCAAGTTACTGAAGGAATGTATCTTAGATTTTTGTTGTCATAGCTATGCTTTGCAATTTTCAGCAAAATCTTCATCATCCACCAAGCTCTTGAATTTCATATATTTCTCTTAATAATATACAAGAAGTTTACCAATCTTTACAAAGTGATTTTCTTATCTTTAAATATATTTAGCTATATAATTTTCTTTATTTTATATAGTTTATATAATTTGATTGCTAGTTTCAATTTTATCTTTACTATTTAACAATAACTGTAGAAATTGATGTATACTTAGAAGATGTAAGTAATCATATGTAGAGTTATCATGATTGGCCTTTATAGATTTTCCTATTGAACATTTTTGATTTAGTTCCTTCAAATAGGTATGTAGATTCTGTAATGAAAAAAATATAGTTGCTAAAGAGATTTGTGATGATGAGAATATCCATATCAATATTAATATCAATACACTAGTATCTTGAAAAACTGATTGAAAAAATAAATTAAGCATTTTTATTTTCTTTACATAGTTCTTTAATTCTTTCTCCTCTTTTTTTCATCTTCATGTTATTATTCTTGAAGTTTTGGCATATACTGATCTTAAATAGCTTGCAACTATTTTATATCATCTAAGAACTTTATTGATAAATCTTTTTCTAACTTTTTCAAACTTAACTAATTCTTCTTTGATCCATTCTTCTATTTTGATAATTTTTTCTGATATCTTTATTAGAAATTCAATAATCATTACTAGTAATAATTCTGTAATTTGCTATACCTCTTGATAATAATAATAGTCTTTTTTCTTGACAAATTATGAACTTGCTTTTGTCACTTTATACTGGATATTATCAGTAATTTCTTGTTTAGATACTAAAACTTTCTTCTTATATAGTGAAATACTATTAAAATAAAATTAAATAGATTTTTAGAGACTTTAAATAATAATTAAGTAGGATATTACTCTCTTGAACTAATATTATTAAAGATTTTTTTACAGTATGTTCTTGAAAGTCACATGTCACAAAGTCCAAGTTAATAATATAGATTATGATTAATTATATAATTATTATAATTATATATAGTAACCAATCAAAAAATTGATCAATAAAATTATTTATATGTAACAAAAAATCACATAATATATTTTAATTTTAATCAAAACATAGAAAAAGTATCTAATTTTAAATGCTTATAACTTTTTTTATAAAACTTTTTTTGAAATTCTGATTGGTAATTTAATAGTACTTATCTTAAAGAACAATATTACCAATTTAGTTTTTCTAGATTTTTTCTCTATAAAGTGCTAATAGATTTTAAAATTACTTAATTTTATTGGCTAGTTAAGATAATTAACATCATACTAAAATAAAATTTATAAATTATAATTTAATATAATTTTTTTTGAAATAATTAGAGATAATTCTTTAGAAAAATCTGAAAAAAAATATATAAAACTATAACTTATAAACTTTATTTTTAATATAAAATAAAAATTATTTTTTAATAAATTATAAACTTTA